GTCCTGGGTTCTAAGGTGCATGGTATCCCTCACAGACCACACACACACACACCCCAGTGAACAGTGCTGTCCTGGGTTCTAAGGTGCATGGTATCCCTCACAGACCACACACACACACACACCAGTGAACAGGGCTGTCCTGGGTTCTAAGGTGCATGGTATCCCTCACAGACCACACACACACACACACACCAGTGAACGGTGCTGTCCTGGGTTCTAAGGTGCATGGTATCCCTCACAGACTTCCCCCCCACACACACACACACCAGTGAACAGTGCTGTCCTGGGTTCTAAGGTGCATGGTATCCCTCATGGTATCCCTCACGGATACTGTGTTTTTTCCCCATCCTTGTCCAAAAGGGTGATTTTTTTCCCCTCGATTAGGTGGAAGCGATCTGTTCTCTGCTGCCCATGAAAAAGCTAGTCAAGGATACTGTGTTTTTTCCCCATCCTTGTCCAAAAGGGTGATTTTTTCCCCTCGATTAGGTGGAAGCGATCTGTTCTCTGCTGCCCATGAAAAAGCTAGTCAAGTTTGCAAGTATTTGTGATGGGTCAGGAGATTTAAATATTATGGGGAAGAGCCATCTGGCAATCCGGCTTCTTTATTTTGGGATGTGATTAATGTTGAATGTGCAGCTGCCGTTATCTACCCTGAGGCTTATAAAAAATGAAGGAAGTTTCTCCCTGAAAAGTGACAGTGAGGGTCACTTACCTCCCAGTAGTTTTCCTGATTGAGCCTATGATGGGCGGGGACGGGCCCACTGCCCTTGGGGAAGGCCACGCCTGCCCAGGAGCTCGAGGTCACCCGAGTCAGCTCATGGGGGCAGCTCCTCCCAATGGGCCACGTCTGCCGACTTTTCCAGCCACCCCAAAGAACGGACACAAGGTAGTGTTTGTACTGTGAGCAGTGAATGAGCAGAGGATGTCATGCAGGGGAAAGAAAAAAGCAGAATGAGAGGACAAATTTGGGGGCAAAAGTGGGCAATGGGACCTGCCCCCAGGGCTCTACGAGAAAGGGAAGGCATGGCCTTCTGTGGCATAGGTGCGAGGTCCACTGACCTTCAGGGTAACACCGTCCCCCTGCCCTGCGGCCCGTGTTGTTCTAAAGCCCTTTAGGCAGCAGACTTGTTTTGTCCCATATATACAGGCCTCACGCCAATGTAGAATCTGTCGTGATGTGGTGTGGCCCACCTGGGACCGTGACACTTGCTGTAGTGTTTTCATTACGTTCGTGTTTTGTTGTTTATTCCTCTCTCCGAATGCTGTCATTGTGTTCTTGCAGCTGTGTGACATGAGGGACGCAGTTTTGGATACGTGTGAGGGGGATTTTCAGGGTAAGCTGGCCCCAGCCTCGCCCCTCTCCACGTCCCCTAGCCAGCCAGGCCAGCTGCCCGCGCCCACTGCCCGCTCTCTGCATGTGGCCCAGACCAACCGCATGGCCGCTTCACTCTTACCAGCCTTCCCCGGCCTCAGCAGGAATGATCTGACCCGTGAGCTCATCTGGCTTTTTGGGATTGCTGGCCTTTTGTTTTCTTTCTTTTCATTAGAAGGAGCTGGTGGAAAAAAACAGCAGACTTTTTTCCCACCTTCCCGCTCACTGGAATCACCTAGTTTGGAGGGGGAACAGATCTGTTCTTCATGTGATATGCCTGCTGGAGACCTTTGTGCCCAGTGCCTTGGGGAATAGTCACCTACACCTTTATTTAGGAAAGTGCCTCGATGGGAGGACACCCCCGATGCAGCCCAGCAAAGGGTCCACCACCCTGGCCTGGACCTTGTTCTCTGAGACCGTGGGTTCGCACCTGCACAACTCCACTTTCAGGCGTAAATTCTCACGTCCGCCTTCCTCCCTGAAGAGTCCGCAGTGTTAGCTCTCATCCTGAGCTTCCCCTGCCTCCATCCCTGGTGTCTGTGGCCAGCCAGGTTCCTTCTATCCAACTCAAACATTTTGGGAGCATTTATATCAGTATCTGCCCAGTCTCCTCCTATAAAGGAGTAGGTGCTCAAAACCCAAACCGAAGCACGAAGCTGAAGGCAGCCAGGAGAGGTGTACCTGCCTCAGTGAGACGGGGTGGCCAGGGCCGTCTGGTGCTCAGACTGGTCTCCTAACAGACACTTTCAAGCAACCTTGAAAGAAGTCATACTCCCCTTTCCCAAGAATGCTGGTGGGGGCTCCCTTCCCTACATCCTGCTCCCTTGATAAGTGCTCTTCTCCACAGGGGCCTCTTTCAGGGAACAGCAGCTCCCTGTCACGTACCTGCTCTGGGCTGCAGTCTTTCAGTGCTCTCTCTAAACTGTCATGTCTAAACTCAGCAGCATCCTTTATCATTCCCATTTGACTGCTGAGGCACAGGGAAGGAAGAATCTTGTCTGAGGTCACACTTGTGCTACGTGACAGGTTTGGGATTTTGAATGCAAGCCCTGGAGCTTGTGCTCTTACCTGATAGCGAACCCTGCACAGTGCCAGGCCGGCGCGGCCTCACACCGGGACTCGGTGTGAGCCACGGAAGGGCAGGGGCAGCCCCAGGGTCCCAGACGTCCTGCGAGGCATAAGGGCCACTGGCTGAGCCGAGCCTCAATCCCCCCAAATCTCTGCTCCTCCCTCAGGCAGTGAAACACAGCCAGGCTGGAATGACGTTTCAGGACAGCCGGGGGGTGGGCGGTGGGGGCGAGGACATTCATCCCAGAACTTCCATGTTTGTACGTCTTTTACAACAATGTCCAAATGTGTGTCTGTACACTCAGTCTGAACATTTGTTTTCACCCAAAAATACAAAACAAAACAAAAAGCCCCTGAGCGTGGCCCCAGGTTCCCTTCCTTTGTCACTCTGGAGTGCTGCTGCAGCCTAGACTGACAGCAAAGCTCAGGGAGGGCCAGAAACTAAGCAGGGAAAGGAGGCGAAAGAACATGATGGAGAGTCAGGGTTCCAAGGGACCTGTGGGTCTTTGGCTCTGTCACATCCCAGTTTGCCTCCTGCAGCCCCCAGAGCAGTCAGCAAGCTCAGCCTTACCAGTGTCCCACCCAGCGGTGGCTGCAGCCCCAGGGTTGGTGTGTCAGACGGGCCTGCTGTAGACTGAGCTGCGGGCTCTAAGGACCTCTGTCTTAACCTTTGCCGATTCACAGGTGTCCACAGACACTGAGCCCTGTCGCTTCAGGTACACCTATCCTGGACATCTCACCAGGAGGAATGACCTTTAGTGCTCATGATAAGGATGTAATCAGAAGTGGGGCTTTTCCCCCACTCAGGGAACCAGTTTTGCCCTAACTACTACCAGGGTCCTGGGGGAGGCCCTCCGCTCTGCCTCCATCAGCCACCCAAAACGTGTCTTAGAGAGGAGACCCCTGCTCACGCTTCCCCCATTGCTGTTTTTCTGCTGTCTTATGCCCTGTCCCTGCAGACTCTAGGGATCTGATATAGATCCCTAAAAAGATGTCATTGAGACCTGCCCAGAGAGCATCCTTTTCAAGAATCAAGTACAGTGTGGCTTAGTGGGGGAAAGCCATCCTGTCTGAACTACTGTGGCCAAACCTGGATGCTCTGGTCCCACAAGCTCACAAGGTAGAAGCAAAGCCGGCCCACCCGCAGCCTGATCATGCACTAAATACCCTAGAATAACCAAACTGCCCGTTTCCTAAGGCTGACTGTATTTGCCTGCAAGTAGCTGCTCTTTAGCCAGAAGCTCCCTTTAAACTGCCTCTCTCTGCCAACTTCCAGATCTTGTCCACTTTGATATCCCCTCCATCCACATAGAGCTCGGATCAACACTCCGCCTGAGTCCCCTGGAGCACGTGCGGCGACACTCAGTGACTGACAAGAGGGACTCGGAGGAAGAGTCTGAGAGCACTGCCCTCTGACGTGGCACCCCGTCCCCGACATGCGTGTACATACATACATGGGCCCTGGAAACACCGCAGGAGCACCGTCTGTGAGCTTGCCAAGTGTTCTCTGCTGGCTCTCGGCTGTCACTGCCAACAGGAGGGTGCAGCTTGGCAGAAAATTTTGGTCTCCAGTCTGTGTGGCAGATGGTGGTGGTGCAGATTGTTCCTTTCAAATGGTGACTTCGGCCTTTTGTTTGACCTTTGCCTTTTGACTTTGTGCCTATTTTGATCCATGTTCAGCCTCCATGCCAAGCAACACCCACCTCTCTCTACCCACGGGCTTGCTTGTCAGAAATGTCCTTTGCAGGGTGGGGGTTGTAGAGGAAGGTTAAGCTACCTGGTTAGACCCGAGGGCTGCTACAGTCAGATCCTGCAGGATCAGCTTAACAGCTACAGAAGGGAAACAGGACGGTAGGGGACCATTTTACTTATAGCTGGACTAGGTCTGGAATTCAGAAGTCCTGGGGCATTGACCTTTGTCTGCTGCTCAGGGGAGAGCCAGCCAGTTAATCCTTTTAGGCTACTCTTGATCAGAGGGCTCCAAAGTAAATGGCTTAAAACAAAATTTGTTTCACTTAAGTTTTATTTTTTCCCCCACTGTGACTGAAAGCTCCCTTTACCTTCAATCATTTCATACTTCTGAATTTCAGAAATGATCTGGACAATGTCTGGATACCCCAAAGATAGCTTCCATGCCCCTGCGAAAACATTAGCTGAGTAATTCCACCCCTCCAGGCACCTTGAGGCACCCAGCTCATTAGGTGTGTGGGTTCCTGAAGCTTGTCTCTTCTTTCCAGAGGTTACAACTGAATAGCAATAATTCTGTTCCCCGAAGCACGTGGAGGAAAGGGGCGGCAGCCCGCTGTGACACCGGCCCCTGCACATGGCCTGCGGTGTGGCCAGCTTTGCTCACCAGCATCCACCTCTTGTCCCTCCTCACGAAGTTCCATCTAGTCACGGGGAGGAGGGGAGCCACTGGGAAGCCCATTTACACTTTGGGATTAAGGGAGTGAGAAACAGATTTGGGCCATGCATGCAAAGTCAGAGTTTAAAATTTTATCCTTTTAAAATAGATATAATATACCTATACATGATATAATATTTGTACATATGAAATCTCTCTATATTTGTTTAATTTGAGCCATTCACTCTAAACCGATGTACAGGTGTACAATGAAAAATTTAAATGCTCATTTTTTCCCAGCAGTGTGAAGTTGTCCTTCTCTGAGAGGGACTGCAGACTTCTGATGTTACAGCTTTGCTCACTTCCTGGCAAGGGCAGTTCAATCCCCAATTTGTAAGAGCCTGGGGGTTGAAAGTTATCTTTAAATACATGTACAAATCGTTGTCAAAAATAATGTTATTAAAATAGATTTATTATCCCTGAGCTTGGCATATGTTCTTGTTTTAACCACTGACCTGTGGAAAACACAGTCATTGACCGCATGTGCTGCCTCAGGAGGAAGCCTGAAGGTCACCACTGCGGAAGGCCGAGTCCTTGGCCTGTATCTTTCTCTCTCGTCACCTGAGTATTTAAAGCTCTTTCCATATTCCCCTGGGTAGGGAGAATACACAACTATACATTAGATTCAACTTTGAAAAAAATATTATCAATTTTCAAGCACTTAACCTCTTTTTAAATCCTGCAAGGAGGCAAGGGAGACAGCCCAATGTGACATTTCTCAAAACTTTCAAGGGCAAAGGGTGATTCTTGTGCTCATTATGGGGCACGAGAGAGCAAATCTGTTGTCTCCACTTCTACCCAGAACAATGGGAGGACTGCCATGTCCCTGAGCCACTGCCCCAGCCCAGCCCAGGCCCTGACAGTATGTGAAACCCTGCCACCTCTGTGAGCCAGGACAGCTGGACTTCTGTCAAAAGACTCAGCTGGTGAGGACGGTGGCTCCCTGGGGACAGGCTCCAAAGGTCCCTGCTGTGATTGATCAGAGCTGATTTCCAGGGCACACTGGGTACCTGGCAGCCACAATGCTGAGGCATGGAGAGCCCTCTCCACAGCACGCAGAAGACCCTGCTCTGAAGCAGCACCAGGATGAAGCGAAAAGAACTCAGGATCCACTCAATCTTTATTGTGGCTGCTTCTTTGGAAATACTATTCCTTGAGTCTCGGAGACACTCAGACCCAACATCCTGTTACTTTCCTTTTCCCTGGCATGCAGAGGAAATCACACTGCTGGAGTAGGCGAGGGGGGGTGCCACCCTCTGTGTTTCTAGATGACTTTAAAGACTGATCGGAATTAGTTAGACCTGCCTGCTTCCATTTGGCAGCCTCCTGTCTCACAGCGGTGCCAGGCGCCAGCCATCCAGGAGCCCTGGTCTCAGCACAGCTCCACACCTCCTCATTGGATCCTGCTCTCTAGTTTCCACCAGGCAAGGAGAGCAGACATGGGGGCCATGCACGGAGCAGAAGAGGCACAGTCCTCAGAGTTCAGGATCACTCCTGGGCTTCACTGGGCTCTGACCTTCTTGCTCTGTGGACTCTGAGGCTCCTCTGCATGTGCCCGTTTCTGCTGGGGCTCCCCGTCTTCAGGGCCGCCAGCCCGTGCCCTGGACAGGAGGGCCGCCTGCACCAGCCGCAGCTCCCGCTTCTCCCTGCGCTCCACCATCTCCTCGATGTCATCAGCAAACAGGGCCTTCAGCGGGGGGATCAGCTTGGGCACCGTCGGAAAGTCTCCAAAGCAGACCTAGAAGGCCAGGTGGAGGACCAGGACACACCTCAGAGGGACAGGAGTTGCAAGTGACAAGATTATGTGCGCACACAGCAGACGTCACCTCCCCCTTCCTTACAAACCCTCAAGCCAGCCAATCACAGCTGAAGAGAAAGAACGCCCTGGAGGGACGCAGGAAGCCCTCTAGAGACAGTGGCACGGCCTCCTCACACCAGGCTGTGGGGGCAACAGTGGACAAGCCTCAGGAGAGGAACGGGAAAGCGGTCCGGACTCTCCAAACCAAGCTCCTCAAAAACGCCCGGCTCGGGCCTTGCCCTTTCATTCCAGAAACCCCGAGGGGCGGGTCTGGCTTTCCCACTGCCTCAGGTCTGTGCTGAGACACAGATGATGTGACCGTGTGAACAGTGTAGGCCAGAAAGACTCAAACGCCCAGGGAACCTGAGACTGGGGTCAAGAAGCACGAGGGCCGTGCACCTGCCTCAGGTCTGTGCTGAGACACAGATGATGTGACCATGTGAACAGTGTAGGCCAGAAAGACTCAAACGCCCAGGGAACCTGAGACTGGGGTCAAGAAGACCCCTGCAGGAGGGTCTCACCAGCAGGCCCGGCACCAGCTACACTAACCTAGTGCTAGAGAAATATCCTCTTACTGGCTGGCCCTGAGCCAGAAAGCATCTCTAACCAACCACCCTGCGCAGTGTATGAAGTCCCATCTCCTGCCCTGGTCCCCACCCCAGCTAGCCCATGTGACATACAGACCTTCATATGGTCAAAAGCAATTCCCACTTTCTCGTTAAAGTCAGGGCTGAAGATGGGGATCTTGGCATAGCGCTGGCTGAAGTGATTGAGCATGATGAACTCCGCATTCATCCGCATCCCCACGCCGATGGCTTGGGAGGTAGTGCTGCGAAGGAGGGACACACATAGCAGACAATGAAGCAGCCCCAAGGCCAGGACACCAGCGCAGAGCACCAGCACGGACCCTGGGGCTCACCCTGCTTAGGCACCCAGGGAATGCCGGAGATGTCCTTAACTAACTGGCACCTCTTTAGCCAACGCAAACTCTTAGGGCCAGATCCTTCACCCACTCCACTCTCCTAAGTGCAGCCTGCCCCTGTGCTGCTGTCACACCTCCTGTCAGCAAGGGCACCTGAGAAAAAGCACAGGGCTTGGCTGGGGTGAGGCACTCTATCATGGAAACAGCCCAAGATTCATCCCCCAGCTTCCCTGATGTGACTTAAAGTTTATTCCAGCCTGTCACCAATTCTTTCAAAAAACCATGCCTCATTCTAGAAGCTTGCCTAGAGAACAGTGCAGAAATAAAGGCAGAGAAACCATTTGAGAACCGCCGCAGGTTCAGGCAGCCCGTACAGCCCATGCAGGAAGCAGGCCAGCCCATGTCACGAGAGGGCACAGGCTTTCCCAAGGGGACAAACGCAAGGCTGCTCAGAGTTTCACTTGGGGGCAGGCCGAGGGGGTAGGTGACAAGGAGGACTGACCAGCCTTTGCTACCTGTGTGTCTTTTCCATTGCTTCCTGTTCTAAACCATCTTCCAGAGTGGCTTCGTGTATCAGGAGGGTGGCATCTTTCCCTGGAGAAGGAGCACGGGCATCAGGCAGAGTCCTCCGCCAAGCAGCACATGCCCTGGACCACATAGCTGTTTCCTGGCCCTGTAACTTGTCTGCGCTATAGGACGACAACCAGAAAATCTGGTTATCAGAGACTGACCACCCAAGTCTGCTGCCTCTGCTGATGCTTCCCTGCAAGCTCGTCCACATTCACCTCCAGCTGCACAAACCTGAGAAGCCCTGGTGAGGCTCATTTCTTCCTCTACTCACCCATCTGGACCAGAGCCTCGCAGGGCATGGTATCTCCTGAGTAGACCACCTTCCAGCCGGACGTGTGCACCAGCGCACAACCAAACGCATGTCTGCAGTGCCGGACCAGGCAGGTCTGAAACTGGACAAGCAGGATTTCAGGGCTCTGTAGCTCTGTGCTCCATCTCACCCACCTCAGCACCTGCGGCCGTGCCCCTCACCTCTTCCAAATCACATATTCCCAGCAATGAACTGATCAGTCTTTCAAGTGTGGGACTGGAGACCTCAGCCCCTTTCTGAAGGCATTTGGCAGGAATCATACTGTAAGAATACAAAACATTTCAAAATTGTAATAAACATTTAAAAAAAATAAACACCTGGAATTAAAGTTCAAGTCTTTGTCTGGAGAGCCCCAAAATTATTCTTATGAAGAAATGAAATTAAAATCACAATTGCTTAAGATGGGGAAATAGTAGCCGGATAAAAAAAGAGCCAAACCAACCCCCCTGGGCCACTGTAAGAAACCTAACGGGTGTGGGCCATGGGCGACTCAGGCAGATGAGATGCCTTCCCCTTGAAGCGCAGAGGATCCAACTCCCAGCCGTCCAGTCAGCCGGTGTGGACGGTCTCTGTGCTAACCAGCTATTCAGGTGCTTGGCCCCAGAACTGTCTCATGGAGAAATGATGGCCAGTCTAGAAAGCAGTACAGAACTGGAATGAGGGCCGAGAAGAAATGCTCCAGAGAAAGCGGACAATAGTTGAAAACCATCTCTTGGTGTTTGCCGTGGAGTCAAAGCGTTTCTCCCCTGCTTCTGCCATCTGAGACAAAGTTAAGGGCAAAGTTGCCAGGGGATACAATTAACTGCCCCAATGTCGCCTTTGAGCTTTGAAGGAGAGGAGGTGGCGGAAGGCAATGGCCTTGGTGGCAGCTACCCTGGACGCTCACCTAACGTGATGCAGAACCTCCTGGCACTCGTTGTGGTACTGCTGGAGCCAGGCCCTGAGCTGGGTGGGAGCAACCACTAGCAGAGGGCGAAGAGGCTTCCCCAGAGACGCCTGAAATAAAGAAATCTGAGTGTCGAGTCAACGACAGAACGAACATCCCAGTAAAAGCAGTTTGGAGCAGCAGGAGGTGTGGCTGATTACGTGCAAACCCAGGAAACTCAAAATGTCCATCAAATGTGCACTTACCAAAGCTTGTTCTCTCTGCAGCAGGATATTCAACAAGCCCTGGAAGGGAAAAGGACGCATGGATTAGCCAGGTCCAAACTCGATTTTTTTCTCCGTGCTGGCCATCTAATCACCAGCTGTCTACCACTGCTGCAGTTGGGGCGTGACACACGCTGACCCATGACCCTGACATGCCACACAAAAAGCAGTGTGGCTCGTGTTTGGAAGGCAGGACAACGGCCCCTAGGAGACCAACATGAGACACGTCTCCCATGCCTGGCCAAAGTTTCCTCTGTGTGGGCTGAGCAGACGAGATTCAAGAAAAGGGTGAAGCCGAAACCCATGCTGGTACATAGAAACAAAGCAGACAGAAAGACAAGATACTCTTTCAGAGCAGAAGGGCTGTGCCAGGGTTTGGTAAAAGACCACGTTGTAGCGAGAGATAAATAACAAAAGCTCTGGGCAAGTTTGGATATGGGGGGGAAGGAAAGCAGCCCAGCGTGGAGACCCCACATGGCAGCAACTCCCGCAGGCCACGGCTCTGTGAGCCAGCCCAGCACTCACCGTGTGGTGATCCGCGTGCAGGTGGGACACAAACACAGCCGCGAGGGTGCCCAGGACTCTGTCTACTTGATCTCCGTAATGATGGCACAGCTGCCCAAATGTACCTTCGCCACAGTCCAGGAGCAGAGACGTGTCGGAGCTGCAGAGGATGAACAAGAGTTGGCACCAACAGGAAGTGACAATTTAGGGAACGAGGTTTGCTTTGGAGAAGAGCAGGAAGCAGGTGGGGAAACTTCTGTCTTCCATAAGGCCACAGGATTTTCCTAACTAAATTAACCATAGAAGTAATTTTACATGTGTCTGTCCTCTTTATATAAAGAATTATACATGGAACCCTGAAACCTTTTAAAGTATAGACCTTAGGGCTGGCTGGCTGGCTCAGTTGGTCCGAGCCAAGATCAAGGGTTCGGATCCCCATACCGGTTAGCTGCCAATCAATCAATCAAGTATACAAACCTACACATACGCTAGGCATCCAAAAAAAAAAGTTTTTGGGGAATGAGGGGGAAAACACACTTAATCCTTAAAGGGAATCTTTGTTTTT